ACGCTTATTTTATATATATAGAAATATTTATTCTCGTGTGACGGATATGCCATCATATAACAACCATTGTCAGTATAAATCTAACTATAAATCTAACGTAAATATTTGATTGTTAAAAAAAATTAAAAAATCACACATTCAAATAGAAAAAAATAAAAATTGAAATACTTGAAGAAATTTTTTTTATCACACCAAATATATAATAATCTCAATAATAAAACATTTTTTTTAATATATAGCTTATAATCTGCACAAGTGACGCCCATGTTGTCGTAGCTGGAACATGGAAAAGAGAAAAACAAAGAAAGATTTTTAGAGATTTACATGTGTACGTGAAAGATTTTTAATTAATTTTACAATGTATCAATTCATATTATTATTATTAATTTTGACATGGGGTTCAAGTTGTGTAATAAATGGATTGGATCAAAAATAGGTTTCATCTAACACAAAGCATTAGGTTGTGTAAGGATAGACATGAATATTCTAGCAGGACCAATATCATGCTTTGCTTTCTATATGCATCAAGGAGATTGGTTTTGGTGGTGTCGAAGCAAAATTCATTTAAAAAAAAACTCAATTATTAATTTATTTAACCATTACTAAGAAGTTGAAGTAATTTAGTTCAAAATAATCTAATTTCTTTAGGTCAAATATATTCATCCAAACATGAATGATATGATATGATTTTAATGGTAAAAAATCATCTTTATTTCACTTTAAATACCAATCTTGCATCACTGTGAGGGAATTCTAGTTTTCTAGTCTCCAATAAAAATCTATGAACACTCTCTCTCATATCACTTCACTTATATACCAAACATCTTATAAAACTTCTTTGGATTTTGACCACCCATCTACCTACCATTATGGTTTGGTCCTCATTATCACTTGTTTGCTCTTCCTCGCATGCATATATATTCTACTTGATTGGTTGATTGTTGTTTCAATAAGTTACAATTCTAACCCTCTCGTATTTTGATTTATATATCGATCGGTTGTGTGATCGTTTTTCAAGAATACTTTGCACACCACCTAGATTTGATTATTTATACCATAAAATTTAAAAGTGTAGATAAGATGTTTTTAAAGACTCGATTAAGAAATGCCCAGTTTGATTCTTGCTATATAAAAAAGTTTAAAGAGTCAAATCTTTCCTAAACTTTAATCTATTTGAAAAGCAATCATTAAACTTTTAATTTGTGTTACGACTTTCCCGAACTTTGGTGATCGATTTTTCTATTAGGTGGCAACTTCTTAGATAACTCTAGTGGCATTATATCATCAAATTCAACTAACATACTACGGATTTCTTTAGGCATCTCCGCACCCTCATCATCCATTGCCCATCTTCTCCAAATGTTGTCAAATCGGTGACTTTTCATTTCTAAAAGCCTTTCTTCACTTGCATGGAAGAAAGGAGCTTCATGTTTGAATTACTATGCACCTTGGTCGACATTATGCACGACGTTTCTTCTTTCATAATAATCATCATTTACTCAAAGTGAGGTGTACACACAACTTTTCATTTGTTTAAAGAACTTCATGCTTAACACAACCTTAAAGTCATCCATCATGATTTTGGTGATCGATTTTTCTATTAGGTGATAACTTTTTAGACAACTTTGGTGGCATCACATCATCGATTTAACTAACATACTACGGATTTATTTGCGCATCTCCACACCCTCATCATCCATTGCCCATCTTCTCTAAATATTGTCAAATTGGTGACTTCTCATTTCTAAAAGCCCTTTTTCAAGGCGCTTCATGTCTAAATTACCATGCACGACGTTTTTTCTTTCATGATCACCATTTGCTCTAAGTGAGGTATACACATAACTTTCATTTGTTTGAAGAACTTCATACGTAACACAACCTTAAAGTCATCCATCATGACAATAGTGAAATCCAACGTCTTATTCTATGTGCATATTCCAAGATTTACTACACATGCTAGGCCATTAGTAGGTTTTAAAGAAGCGTTTTAAAGAAGCATTTACCGTTTTCATGCTATTCAATGACTTGGTTACCAAGTCTCTTGGCTTTATCCTAAGCCATGAAATTGTGTGTGGCACCTATGTCTAGCATAACAAGGATAACATTGCCATTTATGTCCACATCTATATACATAAACCCATATTTCGATGTCATATTAGGCGAGGACTTGACATTTAAAGCATTAAGAAGCAACAACAACCTAATATGCTTTTCATTCTTGGAAGCATACTCATTATCTTCCATCAAGGCATCGAGGGCTTATCACTTCGGACACTTTCTTCATTGATGTGTCTCGTTGAAAAAAATAGCAACCCTTAGACTTAAATTCTCTCTTGTCATACTCTTTGACAAAGTCTTTAAACTTGTATGCTTTGTCTTACCTATATCCGTACTTCTTTCTCTTTTAGACTCTCTCACCTTTACCCTTAAAGTCTCTCTTGGGCTTGTAGAGTTTCACTTTCTTTTTGTATTCAATTAAGGGTTTAGCTATAGCTATAGCTTTGATAAAGGTTTTAGGTTAATGGCCTAGCATTTTTTGTTGTGCTTATGGTTGAAGTTCCTTAATAAAATCATATATATGATCGTAATCAAGTTTGTCACGTATTTGAAGTTTTAGCGAGACATATTCTCTAACATGCTCATGAATAGTTCTCGTATGTTTCAACGTTCATAACTTATCTCGTGCTTCTCTACTTCCATGAAGTAGAATTGGGCATGAAGAGCTTTTTAAACTCGTCCCAACTAAACAACTCTCAATTCTCATCTTCAAGCTCTTTGTGTTTCATGCGCTACCATAAAACATCATCTTTTATGAGATAAAGAATAACGGTATTAACACGACTTTTGTACTCACTCAAGCCTACTATTTCAAAATATTGCTCCACTTGTCAAAAAAGTTCTCGATTTCTTTGGCATTCCATTTGCTAGCATAGTGCCTCGGGCTCGGCACTATGATCTTTGGCGTGTCTCTTAAAGCTACGTCATTAGATATGACTTCTCCACAAATTGCTCGATCTTTTCTAAGTTGCTTAAAAATTTTCTCATACTTTGTCTTTGACTTTTGATGTTATGTAAACATCTTTTTCGTCCATTTCACGAAAGCATCGTTTTGGGCGAGTGCTCTTTTTGACATATCTCTCTATTGACTCTATTCAAATTTAGAGATCGGAAAGCACCTCACATAGGCTTGTTATGCCTCGTGTCTCCTACTCATCGTCTTCTTCCATCTCATTAAGTCTCTATGAAATAAGTCTCTATGAAATAGGTAAGATGTTCCTCTCGCCTTTATAAGACGCTATTCAAAGGCAACCGATACATCACGAGAGTTTCCTCTTCCCTTCTTAGGTTAAGAAGGTAGAATCTCATTTCTAGTGTCCACGAGTAGCATCCTCAACATTAGAGCTACATGCTTACTATTTGAACACATAGCTTAGTGGTAAGCATAACCACTTTTTGCTACCACTTTGGCTTTGATATAATTTTGGTTGTGATATCACTTGTCACGGACTTGACATTTCTCAAGCTTTCGTATGGCACTTGACTTATTTTTTGTTCAAGTCGAACCAAGTCATTCTTTCGCCAAACTAAGTTGTAAAGGAAGAAAAAGGCAAAAAAGATATTAGACAAACTATTTGTATTGTTCTCTAAAATTTATAACTTTAGTTTACAATCTTTGCGATCTTCTCTTAGATGAGTTGGCCAAATAAATGTCTCTTCTATATATGATTCTTCATCTCCTCGATGAATGACTAGAATTTATCTAATCCAATGATTACAAATGATTTTCTAAAATACTCATATCTAGATATGATCTTTTTTATAATTTTTTGTAATAGATCTAGATTTCTCTTAGATAATCTAAAAGTTTCTTCAATATTTTATAATTTTTAAAAAACTTTCAAATTTATCTAGCGTCATCCGTGCGGTGAGTAACACTGAGCTATAAATGATCATGCAGTGACAAACTTGTAGTAAAATCTTTTGTTTGAGCGAAGAATGGTTATAAATTCGGTAAGAGGCTGCGTGTTTATGGCTAGTTTAACGTCAGCCTATCAACATAGATGTGATTGCGATCTCTACCAAACCAGCAATTTAAAGATTTTGGTACCATCCGTTGCCTCTGCCTTATTGGTAAATCACAGTAACATATTTTTGGTCATCGGGCCAACGAGCGAAATGAAAAGGACTTTGACGTGGTTGAAGATTAGCTTAATCATCACTGACTTTTTTTTCCTCTCCCAAGGAAAGAAAGGTGCCCATTTTTTTCTTTTTTCTTTTTATTATTATTATATTTTCTTTTTTAGGGAAAGATGTGACCATTTTGAGTTTCTTCTTTTGAGGAAAAAAGAGAAAAAACAAACAACAACTAGAAAATTCAAAGTATCATTGAAAGAGGAAAAAAAAAAAAAACCCACACAACAATCATTACAGCAATGGCATACAAGTGGAATTTGCAATTTGAATTTTGAGACTAAATTACTTCTTATCTTAACAGTACTTTACTAATCCCTTATGGGGATTGAAACAAACTATATATTTACATTCAGATTGGTTCATTAATAAAAAATCAATTTTCTTACGGTATTTTCTTAAATTCAAATTCTAGAAGATAAAATAAGAATACATCAATTTGCCAATAAAATAAAACCTCCAAAGATCTTAAAACTTTAATAAAGACGATTAAATTTTTTTTGGATAGAGTTAATGTAGAGAGAGAGTGAGAGTGTGTGTGTGTGTTAATGTTTTTAGAAATTCATCTATGAAATTCAATAAAAGTTGAAATTTTGGCTTGGGTGTTAGAGGGGTCACGGAATCACCAAAATGACGTATAGGCTACCACTTTTATTGTTAATAACTTGATGAATGAAAACGAATGCTGGGCCCAAGATTTAACGGGCCATGAATGAGTTTGTTATAGGGTCCATATAAGGAGTAGACATAATTAAAATAACTCCGGTCGCGGGAAGCCGTCTGAGTGGCAGACAACTGTAACAGGAAGGATGGATTTTGGGAGCTCCGACGTTAGCTTATGGAAAGACTCCCTCTCTGCTTACCCGACCCGAATACAATCGCTAAACAAACCAAACTTGGTTTCTCTGGACGAATTTTACCGAATCGAACTCCCTTCTCTCATTCACCAACGAAACCCTAACCCACACATCACCACTTCCGAGCTCTCCAAGCTCATGCAATGGAAACTCTCCCGTGGAAAATGGAGGTACTGAAATCACACACAAACAAATTTTTTATTCATTTAACTTCCGTGTAACAAGAGTTTAATTTAATGTTCGTTTCAGGCCGCGTTTGCTGGATTTTGTGTCGTCGTTGGAAGAATCGCAAGTGAAATCGGCTTCTCAAAAGGCATTTGAATCGCTTCCTGATGTATCGAAATCTGTTTCTGCGCTTACGGTTTTAAAAGGTGTTGGCCCGGCAACTGCTTCTGCCGTTTTGGCTGCTTATGCGCCTGATGTGGCACCTTTCATGTCTGATGAGGTAATTTTTACGGGGAGTTTGTTTTGATTGAAGTTGTTTGTTTAATGTTTTGGTGCTCAGTTTTTGGTTTGTTGTGGTGATGGTGATAGGCTATGGAGGCAGCTCTTGGGAACTCTAAAGATTATACACTTAAGCAGTATCTATTGTTTGCTGATAAACTGCAGACAAAATCCAAGGTCAGTGTCATTTTTCTTTTATTCGTACCACTAAGAAACCGCTTCTTTTCCCTTTTCATTGTACTGATTTCGAATATTTAACTGTACTTTTGCCACTACTTCTTGTCATCAGTATCCGTGGAAGTTTCAACGCAACCATAGGGGAGTGAGGTCATTGACATTTGTATCTTGTTTAGGGTGGTCATAGTTATGCATAGAGTTTTGACTGGTTTTATTGGCTCGTAAACATATTAATTTAAGATGGTGACCGCCCTTTCTTGGCTTAATCTTGTTCACTTTTTTTTTCCCTATGCTGAGTGAATCTTTATTGATAAATTATGAGATGGTCCCTGGAAAATGGGGCTTTCGCAGCTGTCATGTAATTGTGGTTTAATTGGAGGGGGAGGGGGACCGATTTGGTTATGCTTGTTGGACAATTAATTTTTCATTTAGGCTGATATCTCATGCGTCATGATTCTGGATCTCGCAATGTTATTTGATTACATGTGAAAGCAGATTGATTGCATTTGTGTCCCTTCCAATCTACTAATTTATGGTTTACAGATGTTTCCTACAGTATATGTTGTTCCAGTGACCAGTCATTGATGATATTGCTGGCCCTTCTCTTTATTTGTATATATCTGTTTGTGCTTTTTTTTTCTGGATCGAATCCTCGGTTGAGGCAGCATGGACCTAGACATTACCTTAGTAGAAGAGGCAACTATTTTGCTTTTGTGTGTACCAATATAATGCAAAACTAGGAACACTATTACTATATTGAACTTAACTTCTTAACCACTCCAACGTAAATTGTTTTATATATTTTTTTATCAATAAAGGATAGTATGGCTCTATTATGAAACATCAAAAAGTGAACCACAAAATTCCTTGAGAGGAATTAGTGAATACAAGTTTCTGTTGTTCTTTTGATCATTTCAATCTTGGTCTTTGATAAGCATCGAGTTTGTATTTATAAGTGGGTGCTGAGAATGGAAGAGATTCTTGTTAAATGTAAGAGATAGATAAATTGTCAAAGATTGCAAGTATGTGATTTAAAAGATGGGAAATATGTGGTGATATAAATGGAGTTTCAAGTAATCCTAGTTTGTTTCGTGGCCTTATTTCTGTTAGATATTAACCTCTCAATATTCTCTCATCATACTAATTTGTTTACTTCTGACAAGTTAAAAGGGAGGCAAAAATCCATAAAAAAATGTCTGGTAGTTTAGGAAGGATCACGTGGGGGCTAGTGAAGGGGTTGGTGGGCAGCACTTTTATGCAAAATAGTTTAAATATCTATTCATTTAATCATAACTTGGGATATTGTAGGGATAATTATTTAATTAGAGTTTTCTTCAATGACAACTAACTGAATGCTAGTTAAGAAGTTCAGCAAAAGCTTTGGCCACTTGCTGCACATTAGAGCAGTAGTAGATAAATTAGTTGATGGGAGAATTACTCAAGTACTGAAAAAATAGAAAGGTTTTAAAGCACATTCTAGAAAATTTAATATTCTGAAATATCCTCCTCACTTGCCAATTTGGTGTATCAAACCATTGTGTGATTTTGATTTAACACTACATCTGGTATGTTGGCTTAAAGGCCCAAGATTTAGTTTTCTGCATTCTGCATGTGCACACGTTGTTTGTCAGAGGAATAGAAGTAATATAAGTTCTCCTTGCCTTGCTGGTGTTTTATCTGTTGAAAATGTTTTAGGAATTAAGTTCAGAGGGGGACACCTTTACACCATCAGACATTGAAAGGGCCCTGTGGAGTTCTGCTATAGGGGCCAAGTTGCTAGCTTTGCATTCTAATCCAGACTCCAAGAAGGCTAACACGGCCAGAGACATCAAGAGAAAGAGAAAACGTTGATCTGGGATGTGCCACTTGCACCGAAGCTTGTAAATTATTTGCCAATTTATAAAAATCCTTTGAGCATACTTATCTACTCATGAATTGCAACTCCTTTTCTCTTCCATTTTTGTTTACTTGTTTATTTGACTTTCACCTTGCAGGTATTAATGATCGATTGGTGCCTACAAATCTCACGTCACTAATTTTCGGTACTCATGTTAGTTGCATTTCCTCTGACTAAAAGAGTTTGAAGGCCAGAACTTAGAGTTCAGCGTTTTGTACTGAAATCACTTCACTGGTACTTTTACTATGGTTAATGCATGTAATATAAGTTTGAGAGATTCGATGTTAGGTGAGGGAGTTCTTTCATTTATTATGGGAAGTGGACGCACCTCCCTAATCGTATGATCTTCTGTTGTATATTATCTATTTCACCAATGCTGTCAAGGAAAGTGTCCCTAATCTGTTTGCAAGCTTTGCAGCAACTACTTCTACGTTTTCCCCTTTCTTAAAGACAGTATGTCTGACCTTAATCCTAACCACATTTTTCTTGCTGGACCTACCTCGTGATAGAGAGGGGTGATTCCTTCAGGCCTAGAAGTTTTGTAGCTAACTTCGACAGATTCAAATCCGAAAAGTGGTGCTGTGTTGTTTATTACACAGTAACTTGGGTACTGACCCCACACTATAAGTCAGATTTGACTTATTCAAGCAATGATATTTTTCAAGTTAGTTTTAGACTAGTTTCCTTTATGCTTCATTGAAGGTATTTTGGAATCCCTTTACGCAAACCTAAACATTCTCGTATGCTTGAGCAAAAACCAGTGCTTATTTGCTGGATGAACGACTGTTGGGGTAAAATTTGTGTTCATCCATTTTGGTGTCATGTTGATGGTTCTAAAATCTAAATTGGATGTTGAACAACATCACATTTCTTTCAGTACTCAATACAGAGCAAATTGCTAACAAGAGACTACAACCATGCGCCACAACAATTACTGCTGAAATCACGAATTAACAAATCAGAAGGCGAAATAGATTAGTTAAGTTCACGCATGTGTGGGCCTGTGAATCTGATGGCAAACCCTCGATTATATTACACGACCCATTTTGTATGAGTAAGCTTTCGTTAAGGGATGGCAGTGCACCCAATGGGCCATTATCGCACTATCATGGCTTGGCTGGTCATCGTTGATTTAGAAACCAACGTAAAAGAACAATACATCTTCTCTGAAGCACTATCACCAAGTTTCTTTGAAAAAATTGTGAAAAAACTTCATCCAGTGTACATAATACTATCACCAAAAGAGATCTTAATTCTACCTCGTTCCCTTTTAAAATAAATACACACACAAAGGAAGAAAATCCTTTTGCATTATTAAATTGCTAAAAAATCTGACCACTATTAAGCTGTAAGTTACTTGAGATTGAGTCTTTAAATTTTTTTTTATTAGTTTTAAAAATTCTTAAATTTTTAATTTTTCCAGATTTAGTCATTTTTTTTAGTTTTTTTATCACTCTTAAAAAATAAAAATAAAAATAATAGATTTATGATGAAACATCATTCAAACAGATTTCAAAATTATTTTTAATTTTTTAAATTTTTATATTTTCAGTGTTCAAAAAATAAACAAATATAATTTTTTATTTTGAAAAAATCTGAAAATTTTCTACAAACTAGATTGATTTTTTTTTCAACATGTGTATAAAATTTTAATTTAAAATACCAAAAATAAATTTTTTAAAGGAGAAGACAATAGCTGAAAATTATTAGATAGACTAAATATATAAAAAAAATTAAAAGTTCAAAAAATTCTCAAAATTAATTAAAAAATTCAAAAACTCAATTTTGAATAAATTAAAAATTAAAAATTATTAAAACATTTTAACCTTCTTAATTATGCTCGTCCCAAGAGTGCAGAAGCAACGGAAACATAGCCATTAGTGTTTGCAGTTTGCTAAGTGGCTGAGTGCTACAACTGAAAGACTACCACCTTAGATGCTTCCTATTTTTAATCCATTACAAGTTTTAAAAGTTCAGCCCAATAAATTCCAATCAATCATATATTAATATCCTTTTCTGAAAAATTAAAAAAGTATGTGTGTGTGTGTATATATATAAAGCGATGGGTACTGGGCAGGGTGTCTCATAGCTGTTCGCTTTTATTGTACTTCTAGCAATCCCGTTACATTAAAAACATCAACCTTCTCTCCTCCACGTTATGTCCTCAAACGACCGAAATCACCGGTGGAGTCCACGAATATCACTCCTCCCACGAAAACACCTCGATTACGATGACGAGCCCTCGAGGTCGGCTTCAATGGCGCTTCCTTCTCCGGTGCTGTTTCCAACCTCTCAACAACTGTCGTCGGTGCAGGAATCATGGCTTTACCGGCCACGGTCAAGCAGTTGGGGCTAATTCCGGGCGTTATTATGATCCTATTGGGAGCTACGTTAACAGAAACTTCAATTGATATGATCTTGAGATTCAGCAGGCTTCTAAACCTGCCACGCTACTCTGGCGTTGTTGCCGATTCGTTTGGTGGTTTTTGGCGAACTCTCCTACAGGTCTGCATTGTTATTAACAATCTGGGCATGCTTATTGTCTACATGATTAGTATTGGTATGGACTTTCTCCTTGCAAAATTTAGTGTTTTAATTGATAGATTTTGATACTTTAATTAATAATATCATGAATTAATTTGAGTGTTTTGTTCATATTTTTCTGGGCTAGGGTTTTAGACAAAATATTTAATTTGCTTAGTTAGAGCTTAGCAGCAATAATACTCATTTGAACTGCTAATGTTTGATATTGAATGGTTGGTGATTAACATGGGATAATTGGTTTGGGATATTTTGTGTGGCACGAGATGTGTTATCTGGGACGTGGTTAGATGGGTGCGGCATTCGGGGGTTATGGAAGCATGGTTTGGTTCATATTTTTCTGGGCTAGGGTTTTAGACAAAGTATTTGATTTGCTCAGTTAGAGATTAGGAGCAATAATACTCATTTGAACTGCTAATGTTTGATATTGAATGGTTGGTGAATAACATGGCATAATTGGTTTGGGATTTTTTGTGTGGCATGAGATGTGTTATCTGGGACGTGATTAGGTGGGTGCGGCATTCGGGTGTTATGGAAGCATGGTTTGGTCAACATTGGTGGAGTACTTGTTGCTCCCTGTTGCAGTTCCCCACGGTCTTTATTTTTGCTCCTCTCATTTCAATCAAGTCCGTTGGTAAGCGTACTTGCTGTAACACTACGATAGTGACTATGGAACCTTCAATTACGTAAATATGCTAGAACCGGAGGAATTAATATATCGAGACTGTTGATTGGAATTCTTAGAATTGCTGTATATGGCCGTCGAGGCTATGGACCGAGTTTTAGTTCTTTGAGTTGATTATTATTTTTTTATTTAATAACCAAAAAAAGAGTCAACCATGTTATTTGTAGCAAATTCAAAGTTAGCTCAGGGGATTTCTGTTTCTACCAGTGACGCATTAGGGCATTGTTGGCCTTTTTGTTTTATTAGCTAAAGAAGAGATATAGACATGCGGTATGTATTGCTGTCAGAAAAATTGTTTTCCTCATCATGTTGCATGCAAATGTAAAACATATGGAAGCCGTGCTATTGAGTAACAAAGCTACCTTCTGGCTTCTAAGGAATTAATTTCTTTATGTTCTAAGAAGGTCTTTGCTACTCATATGCTAATACAACCTATGTAGGCTTCGTGATCTGCTTTGATGCACATGGTGCATCACGCTTTTAGTTTTTGTCATTGTATCAGTTTAAAATTTTTGGGAAATGAAGTTCAATTTTTGTACCTTTTATCTTCTTGGTGTGATGATGCTCTAGTTCATTAAGATACACATCAGCATTGTCAGTGGGTTTGGCCATTCTATTTTTGGCCATCACTGCAGGAGTAGTAGTTGTTAAACTAATAGAAGGACACATGGGAATGCCACGTTTGATGCCCAAAGTCGATCAAGCATCGTTTTGGAAGCTTTTCACTACTATTAAGTTATGAAATCCAGAATTATTTGATGTTATTTAGAAAAGCATTCTGAGCAGTTATCAGATGTTTGAGTTGCTTCTTGTCTTTTCAGCTTCAACTTAGCTCACTTGATGGCATTATTAGTGTTTTGTTGTCATTTTGAAATAACGCTTACGCAACCAATCTCGTCGTTGTAGTTTCTTGTGATTTGGAATTTCTTCTGATTCACCAGCTTTCCTGAGTTGCCTCAAGTGCTTTATTTTTGCTTAGTGATTATCTAGTGAATTAGCATATCCAAGTTGCAAAGTTAATTATTCGCTGTAGTTTAAGCTACTTGAACGCCTTGATGGATGGGTCTTGATGTGTCATTTAGGTGCATGCTATATAGATCTCTACCTTGTGATATCCACATTAAGGATAGCTCGTTATATATGTAACTTCTTAGATGTTTGTTTGTTCAAATGTATTTTGCAGTTCACCCCATAAAGAATGAACTAAGAGACCCCAATCACATGAAATGAATAGTTGGGACGTCGCTGACTTTATGCGTGTCGGTCTATGTTGCTACAAGTTTCTTTGGAGTCAACACTGGATGAAGTCCTTGCCAATTTTGATGGTGAGCTTGGAGTTCCATATAGCTCACTGCTTGATGATGTGGTCATGGTCAGCTATGGTATCCACCTGATGTTCGTCTTCCCTATTGTGTTCTTCTCTGTTTGCCTCAACCTGGATGGGCTCCTCTACCCGTATGCCATCTCGATCGCACATGACAATAGGAGATTCCTCTTGGTAACTTTAGCTCTCATGGGATTTATCTTTGTGGGAGCCAATTTTGTGCCTACAATCTGGGATGCCTTCCAGTTCACTGGTGCCGTGGCTGCCATCGCTGTTGGTTTTATTTTTCCAGCTGCTGTTGCTCTTACGTAAGCATCTGCAATTGATTAGGCATCACAACCAGCAGCATCAATATTAGGGTTGTTAACTAAATTTTCCTTCAGATCTTAAATGGCCAAGAACCTGAGGCAAACTAGTCTATTGATTTGATTAACAAAGTCTTTGTATTTATCTTGCATAGTTGACCTGAATTTTAGGCTATCAGGTAGGTAGAAGGGGAGGCTTAGCACTGGACCTAGCTTGAATCCACAGTAGTCTGTTTCTTTTTAGAAACGGTAATCATTATAATGCTAGTGATGATCTAGCTTAAATTTATAGGGAGTTGTCAATGGTGAGCACCAACTGTTGGATGTTGGAGTTTCAGAGTTGCTGTCTATAGCAGATCTGTATCAGATGGAATGCTATTAATAGGGTTTATTGATATTTGGTATTTGACATAATATGGAGTAGATGTGCCTTATCCATGGCATATATCATGATGGCATTACATAGCATACGATCGGTAAAGCGCATGCTAAGTAGTTCGGATGAGACTTCTTTCAGATGTCTTAGCTTGGACATTTTCAATACATCTGCAAGACAAGCATGATCTTCTGGCATTAAAAAGGCGGTTTACAGATTGAATAATTCAATTCGATAAATATATATCAAAACTTGTAGCAACTTGTCCTAGGTTCAAATATTTCCATAGGAGGGCGAAACAAAAACAGATGGAGAAGAGAAAAGTAAACTGCCATGTCATGCATTAACTGATACTGAGTGTTCCCTAGCTGTTTGTCTTTAGGGACCCGAATGGAATTGCAACGAAGAATGACAGACTGAAAACGATCAACCAGGACCACGAAGTACAGCAGCCATCTGTAGTGATATTTACGGCATTTTCATAAGTGACAATGGAATTAAAAGCTTACCTGAAAGTTAGGATGATATCCTAGCCAGCGCATGCTCTCTGAAAAAGATCAAACAGGACCACGAAGCTGGACTCCAGTTCCTCTGTTTGATTGCTGGTCCAACAAAAGTTACGGAGAATTGAGATTTTTTTTTTTTTTTTCCATTTGAGTGTAAAGATATTTTTTTAATCAGATTGCACATAGTTTATGCATTAATCGAATTTTTTTTCCTGAATAATTTAAAAAATGCACTCTTCACATCCATCCGATACATTAAAAAATAATAATAAATTCTTCTAGATACTGGGAGTAAGGTTTGAATCTAAGGGAAAAAAAAAAAAGAATCTTTCTTAACCACTTGACCAATTCTTTAAAGTTTTCTGCAAATTAAGATGATAAGCTTTTTCTTCATTACCAATTTTAGTTTTATTTTTATAACATAATATAATAATATGGTATTGTATGGACAAAATAAATCAAAATAGGCTCTGATAACATGCATTACTTGATTGGACATTGAAGATTGGACCGAAATCTTTTCGTGTAGGGTAATGAAAAAGAAATTTGGAATTTTTCTCATAAGACCTTAATTCCTTTAATCTAATCTGAAATTGTATTCACACTCACGATTAAATAGGAGTTAGGACACTGTAAAAAAAATAATAAAAATTAAAAACCAGAAACAGCTCGGGATTTCAGCTACCCAACACAAAACGGACCAACTCGATCATAAAATCTCAATCTCACTGCAAGTTCGTTGACGCAAACCACTGAAGCATCACCGCAAAAATTGCCAGGGGAAGAATTAAAGGGAAGATGCAATTAAGGATCTCAATGGGTTTCATTGGGCTAAGATTACCTAAGCCCATGAAATCTTAGCCCAGTATGAAATCCATTAGCTCTTTTTCGAGGGGAACTTCGGCTCTATATGGTTTAAGGCAGCTAGGTAGCATGTGATATGATTTTTTTCCAAATTAATTTAAGTTATTTTTTAAGATTTGATTTTTTTTAAAATTCATAAATACAATTTTTTAAAAATAATTTTTTGAAAAATGTTGTTATAAAATTTAAGTCAATTTACTTTAATCAAAAGTCAATTTATTAATTATGATTTATATAATCCTCTTCTTAAAAAAAAATGATTTGAGTCATACCTCTAATTTAAGTTATTTTTATCATAAATTATCTATAGAAGATAGTTTTTAGATTATAATTCAAAATCAAAAGTTATTTTTTATAATTCATATTAAATGGAATACAAAATCGAGCTCAGTTGACTTTTTCTTGTCTTTTCTCTTAACAATTTTGAGTTTCTTATGCAAACCAAAATTTCTCTTTATATATATATATATATATATATATATATTGGGAAAAAAAAACTTGAGTTTCTTTACCAGCTTAACTGACATTAGCAAAATAATCTTGGCATGCTATTTATTAGCAATACGATTTTCAAATTGAAAAAATTGTATAATTTATTTTTAAAATAAGTGTATTGTTATCTTGTTCATGTTTATTTTTATAAAGTAAAAAATAATGAACATATTATTGAAATTCGTGCTGCATTTAAGTTTATAAACGAATTTGGGCGGATGCATAGTATAATATTGAACTGAAATCAAATGTGAATTGGGCTAAGCTTACCTAAGCCCATCAAATCCTAGCCTAATATGGATTCTATTTGCTCCCTTTCGAGGGGAAACTTCGGCTCTGTATGGTTCTAAGGTTAGCGTGATATGATTATATATATATATATATATAAATTAATTTGAGTTATTTTTTTTACTTTTGATTTAAAAAATTATAAATATGTTTATTTAAGAATAATATTTTAGATAAACCAAAAGATGTTAGAAATTTAAATTTAAAATTTTCTTTAATCGAAAGTCAATTTATTGATTTTAATTTATTTTATCCTTAAAAAAAATTGCTTTCAGTACTCATATGTCAAACTGAATTCATTTTTATCAAAAGCTATTCATAAAATATAAGTTTTGACCATAACTTAAAATCAATCTTTTTTTTTATATATTAAAATCAAAGTTATTTTCATAAGTCATATTAAAAAGAATTTTAGATCAAGCTCCGTTGATTTTTTTTCCCCTTCTCTCATCAGTTTTGAATTTCTTAATTATGTGAACCAATGTTTCTTATATTTCTTTTGATGAGAAAAATAGATCAATTGAAAAGGCACCAAGGATGCCAGCCATGTGCATTAAAAAAAAAAAACCTCAATTTTTTCTTTACCAGCTTAACTCACTTTTGTAAATTGATATTGGCATGCTATATACGATTTCAAAATTGAAAAAAGAGAACAGTTTATTTATTTTTATTTATCTTTTTCATGTTTGTATTTATAATACTTTAGAAAAGTAATGGATATATATTATTTAAATTGAAAAAAGTGCATAATTTTTTTTTTTTTATCTTGTTAATGTTTATATTATAATACTTTAACAAAGTAATGAATATATTATTATTTAAATTGGTGAACTTGTCTTGTATGCGTAAAATATAAGAAATCATGGCGTGTTTAGGGGGCCTTGAGTCCTTAACAGCGACATCTGGACGACTCTTCTTAAACGTTGAACTTGGAGAAACAGTCATTAACTAACATGCAACGAGCACCGTCTTCATGGTTCATTGCTCGTACTACCATTACCCTGAAAAATTAAAAGCTGGAGTATGTCTTTCTTAAATTCTTCTCAGGATGTATTTTGACAGCCTGTGGCTTCTAGTTGAAATTTGGTTTCAAACTATGGCACCGACACAGCAATCTAGACTGAACTGTTGAGATTATTAATTCAAATTTTAAGTGGGAAAAAAGGGTTAGCAAGCAAACATTGCACGCTAGATTAAAATATTGTTTCGTCTTCCATTAATGAATGAAGTAAATATATATATATTTTTTATCCTTAATGCACCAACTATAGCATTTAGTTTTGAATTTTAGGAAGTCAATGATTTTTATACTAGAAACTAGAACATATAAAATATCTTGTATTGTTATGACGTCAAAAAAATAAATTTAATTATATCAATTTATGAATTTAGGTCTCTTTCTCATTTTCCAAAAACTTAAAAAAAATTCGATGGAACAAACTAATTACAAAGCTAGGATTAAGATACGAGAGGGAACATTATTCATAGATTCTAAGTCTAGATACGACAAGTACTAAATTAATAAATAAAAAACTATACTTATTTAATTAATTGATTCGTAAATTAACTTAACCGATGACAATTTGATCGTTGGTCTTGCCGGCTATTATACCCGAATCATATATTCAATATTTTTGTTTGATAAAACATGAAATTCAGAGTCAATATTAACCCATATTTAGTTGGTCAAATAAAATTACGTATAATTCATAATTGATGCGTGGTATTATCTATATATAAGAAAATATGGAGAGGGATTGACATTTTTATTTTCAGTACAAGGCAGCCTGTACCATTACCAGGAATGAATTTGGACATTCACCAAAGTCATAAGGAAGAGAAATTGAAGAAATCAGATAGTAAGGATAAAAACATGCGTAGCATTAAGTATATGCCTGGCTAACTGTCTGCACGTTTTTTGTGTATCATTGGATCATAAAAAGAAAACTAAGAAACCATCAAAGGAATGTTGAATTTTCTTTAGGCAAATTAGGACACATGTCCTTTCATCGTTGTACATGCAACAACGACGAGTCCCGTTTTGACAAGGCACTTTCTATCTCTTCCTTTCTTTCTTTATTTTCAAGTGGGTCTCCTTCTTTTAATTGTTTTAATGTCACTTAATAGATTGTTTGTTTTCCATTCTCATGATTGAAGGAAACAACACCGCATAGTTTAAAAGGAAACAACGATCATTCTAATTTAAAAGTGATGGGATCTTTGACGATTTAAGATTCAAAAAATGTGGTGTCCGCATTAGTCATGGAGGTGACCCCATCCCAAAAAATAATAATAAAAAATCTCCATACATAAATTTGATTTTCTTAAATTTTAATTGACCTGTCCAGTTGCGCAAGCGCTAAAATCTTCCGAGGCTAATTATTGATTAAGACCCATGTCCTCACCTAACCTTGGTGATTATATAAAATACTACCGCGTTTCAGGGACCTACATGCTGTCTAACCTTTTTTTTTTCATTTTTCCTGCCTTATTATATTACATGGAGTAAAATATAAAGTAGTTTCTCTGGTATTGTAAAACGAATTAAATAATATTTTTGTTTTAAAACTTAATTAATTAATATCTTTAACTAGTGCTAATTATTATTAATTTAATATTATTTTAAAAAACTGTCTTTTTTTAATCTTTTTATATTTTATTTTTTATTTATCAAAACAAAATAAATTGAAAAGATATAATGAGCTAAGTTATAAATAGATTTAAAAATACAAGGACTAATTAATTAGATGTTAAAACTAAATAGGCTTTATTTTTTATTTTTTAAAACTTAAAGGGATTGATATATAATTTACTCTCGTTGTATGTGACCGCACAAGGAATTGGCAATTTGCTAGGTGCCAGTTTTCGTTCGTTGAGTAAGGAGTGTAGTTACTAGTATTTTACCGAAAACAATAATAATAATAATAAAATAATATAGGATTACAGCAATTGTACGATCGTGATAGTTTAATTATTATAATTAATAATCGAAAGCAATCATTAGGAAAGCTGTCACCCATTAACCTCCACAGTATCATTGGGACATCATTCCTCCAGCCAAGCCGCTTTGCTTGAAAGTATACGACGCTTTCTACGAAATTGTGCTGCGAAAGCAACTGACTGTAAGAGTGCTTGGTACTAGGAAATTTTAACCGTAAAAATTTTTTGTATTTATTTCGTTAAAATATGTTAAATGTTCAGATATATGAGGTTTTTTTTTTACGACATTATATTCCATGGAATGTTAGGAATGTAATGTATTTTTAAAATGAGGGGATCGCAACTTTTTTATGGGAAGGAATGTAATTTTTTTTTTTCAACGCCCTTGCTTTTTTTTTTTTTTTTTAATATTGATTAAGATGTCTTAGCTTTTATCAATAATGAAACAATTACCTAACATTTTAACATGTATTTTTATATTATATATGTGTTTATGTGCACGGCTATTTAGAAGAAAAATATAATGTTGACAAATTAATTT